TCAGTCAGTCGTCTTAGACAATGCGAGGGACCATGGCAGCGATGACCATGATGCTCGGGCGATCTTCCGGGTTCGTCGCCATGCACTGCAGCGCCAAGTCGGCCACCCACGTCGGTGTCGTCGACACGTCGATCGTGGGTCGGATCTTCCCGGACGTCACTTGCGTAAGGAGGTACTGCTGGTTAAACTGCTTCTGCGTGTGCGGGTTGATCATGTCCGTGTACGGCGTCAAGTGCGTCGAAAACTCAGTGAGCAGCACCCCTAGACACAAGATGACTAAGCAACCCTATCCCCAACAAGGGCTCACATACCGAGGGAGTAGACGTCGGCGGCCACCGTGTACTCTCTACCCGAAATGACCTCGGGCGCCATCCATTGGTACGTGCCAATGCCACACGTGAGCGTGTTCTCGTCGACCTCGCGCGACTCGCCAAAGTCGGTCAGCTTTGTGCCCTGCGAAGTGTCGTCAAAGGAGGCTTCAGATCCCTCGATGATGCTACCTTTTTCGAGTCGAGGAGCACGTTGCGGGACTTGAGGTCGCGGTGGATGATCGGTGTCTCAAACGTGTGGAGGTATAAGAGGCCGTGCACGATACTGCTAATGCTCATGTGCTTTTGCGGCCACGTAAACTGGTCCGGCGTCGTCTTGGACAGGAACGACCGGAGGTCCCCGAGGTCCATGTACTCGACGACACACGCGAGGTCGGTCGGCCGACGCCACGACGCACCGACAAACTCGACAATGTAGTTGCACTGCATTCTACGACACTCCGTAAGTACGGGGTAGAGATGGCTGAGACGTACTTGGACATGAGGAGGATCTCGTCCATAAACTTTTGAATGTGGCGCGTCGAGTCGTGCTTGATGCGCTTGATCGCGACGTCGTCCTTCAAGTAGCGGCCGCGCCACACGTCACCGTAGGCGCCGGACGCAATTGGCTTGGACCCGACTGTGACCAAGTCGTCGACCTCGAGCTTGAACTTGCGCAGCGGGGCCATGTTGAGGACATCGTCGCCGTCCTCAACGATGAGACTGCCGCGCTTGGAGCTCTGGTACTGCGCAGTCGAGAGACCGGTGCCCGTGCCCATCGAGACGGCAGGCGTCAGCAGCACCGGAAAGTAGCAAGTGGCGGCATCATCCGGCTGCGCCACGTCACTCGTCGAGGTGGACTTGCCCTGTCGGCGACGGTAGATGCAAAACCCGAGGATCGCGACAAGAATGAAGACGGTCGCAGCAACACCCGCAATCACCGCCGTGTCTAATACCTTTGCATGAGATGAAGTATGGGCGTGGGCGATAGTACTGCTGCTGCTCGATTCACTGGGGACTGAGATCGGCGTGGACGTCGTCGGCGTGGTCGTCGTCGGGGTGGACGATGCGATTTGCCCAAGCTTGTCTACGATCAAGTGTAAGTTCCATGCAGAGGCAAGAGTACCGAGGTACCGGTAGGACACAAACGACCCAGGCGTATTTGGTTCCTTTGCCATACCAGAGCTGTTTGGTGGTGCCACCAATCGCAGCGCACGGGGCGGGATCCATAGTCAATGACTTCGTAATGTAAAATCCAGTAGGTCCTCTTTCGGTGCGTTCAATGCCGTTGTCGAACGTCTCGTTGACATATTTGTACTCGCCAAGACGATCAAGAGCGTTGAAGGTCGATTGCGTGATGGTGACGTTGACGAGCCGCGTACAGTTGTAGCAAGCACTACGCATCACCCCATGATTTGGCTGCGCTTGTCGACGGACGTACAAGTATTTCATCTTGTCGCTCAAACTGACGCGGGAGAGCGTCGTAATGGGCGTGTTGCTAATGTCCCTACGGACAGATTCGTACGAGATATGAGATACTAGAGTGCAGGATAGAGCTATTGGCCATACAAGGTGTTCATGTTGGCCGTCATGTCGAGGTTCACGAGCTTTGTGATTGGGTTGAAGCGTAGATCTCTAGCTCCTTTGTCATGCAAACGCAAGCTGGTGGTTTACATACACCATGCCGAGCTGACTTGGCAGACTTGTCACTTCAGGAATGCGGTTCATGTAAAGCCCCCTGCGCACGCGTAAGCACTGCACGACGGAGGGTGTCGTACAAATTCTGTAGGGACGACGGCAACCCGGCGGGGTACCGCGTGAGACCGGTGTTTTGCAAGTAACTGTACACGAGGTGAGCACACAATCGGGTGTATGTGGATCGAGTACATGGACTGCACGGTCGACGGCCAAGACGATGGCATCGAGACCATGCTTACATTCTTGATCGCCCTACCACACCCGTCATACTTCACCAAGATCATTCGCAGCCGGATACCAAATGCCGGGGGTGAGCACCGACCCAACACTAATGTCGAGCGTCCCGACGTTTTCGACAACCCTAACGCAACGTGTCACCATGGAAATGCGGTGCATGCGTCTCGTACATTGTCGCTACGTTGCTGGGCAGCGTCATCTTGGTCAGGTCCAAGCTTGTCGAGTTGATCAAGCTCCTGAAAAAATCGTCAGTCATGGACCTTGGTGCATCAAACCAGTACAATGTCGAGAGAGGATAGTTGGTCATGTCACCCACAGAGGAGACACGCGTCCATACAGTGACCGCGCCCGAGTACGAGTTGTCCATTCGACAGGTCAAGTCGACAAAACACCCTGTAGAGGAAGCCGGGCAGTTGGCGTCCGACACGAGCACGTATTTGCTGCTGTACGTGGCGTACTTGCACGACTGGGCGGCCGCGGACGCGACGAGACCGAGCAACAACGTCGAGGCGCGCATGGTCCAATTGCAGAATGAGCGACAGAGATGCAAGTCGTGGTATTGCACAAGGTTGTCACAACGTTGTGCGGTGCGGTGCGGGAGGTCAGGACATTGTCTAGAATACAGGATCGCTATTGGCGGAAACGATTCCGTATCTGGATTGCTATCAACCAGAATCAGATGTGTCAAGTTCCATAGTAGTACGTGGATACCAACTAACTGCACATGCTCGCGCTGGTCCAGGAAAGCTGACAACAAAGCAAGAGACATAAAGCAGCGCACAGCTCGTCAGCCGCTGGTCATCGATGACCTGCCGCAGGCTTCAAGTGCGAGCTACGACAAGCACAACGACAGCAGCTGGGTGACATACTGGTCCGTGAGGCAGATGAGAGCTGCAGATGAGCCGCATGCGAAAAGTTGGCTGAGGCGAGGCTCAACACAGCAGGACGCAACATGCCAGCCGAGCCTTTGGGCAACGCACTGCTACCTCGTCGTTGGCTTCACAAGGCCAACTCGCAACCCAGCAAGGGTGCTCCAGCCGGGCATCCCCGCTCAACCTCGCGACTACAATCCACTGAACCACAATAGTAGATGGAAACAGAGAGAACGTGGTCCGTACGTCCTTCAAGAGCTAGTTCCATCCAAAAGACAATCTGCCAACGCCAACAATGTCCTATCTATTAAAAATCTAGTCCTACATCCGTCAAGTCGGGCTCAGACGCCGGCCTTTCTGCAGTGCGTTGCGGTAGTGGCGGTTGGCCGGCGCATGGTAGAGCAGCACAGAGACAAGGAACTCACCGAGCATTTCACACGCGGCTCTCTTGGCCGCCGGGTCGTCGCGGCCGCTGCCTTTGGCGACAAGCGTCGCGTTGACGCGAATGAGGCAGAGACAGAGACCGTTCACGCGCTTCTCTTCGAGTCGAAACTATCGCAAAAGGCAAACTTAGTCACAGCTACAAGAAGGTCCTTATGTACGTGTTGGCGGGCGCTCTCGATCAAGTGTTCGACGGCGAGGACGCGCGCGCTTTCACGCCGCTTGACTTCGTGCTCGCCCAATTGCTGGGCAAACGTATCGAGAAGCGAGCTCCAGCGGCCATGGAGGCTTGTGGTGAGTGCCATTAGGTGTCGGACCACTTCTTCTTTCGGGTATCGGTTGTGCGGCAGGCACTCGGCGGTCATGATGCGCAAGTAGTATGCACCGATCGCGACATCCACGCGGTATTCTCCATGTACCGTCGTCGACGCAATCTTGGCCTACGCAACGATCCCCATTCGACACGGCTGTCCATACAGTCGGATGACAGGTACCAGCACGTTCGTGGCCACTTGGTACTGCGACGCATTCTCGACGCGCATCACAAGCTCGGCGAGTCGCTTATCGGTCGCCGCCTTGTTTTCGAGCACTGCCCGCAGAAAGTACAGCGTTGTCGACAGCACTGTGAGGTCGTCAAGCACCAATTCTTCCAGGCGCGACGGGTCCGGCGCGTTGATTGACGTGATGACCGCCGGTGCGTCGACACGCTGGCGCTTACTGGATCGCACGTCATCGGTCGCCAAGCGCCGAAGCTCCTCGATCGACTTGGGGCGGCTACTTGGGATCGGCGATGCAGCGGAATGCGGAGACGGCGCGGTCTTTGGCTTGGGCGGGACGTGACGTGGCACGCTTCGCGGCGACGGCACAACGTGCAGGGCGCGCGCATTGGACGGCAAGGGTACCAGCACGGGCTTGGTGGAGGGAAGCGGCCGCGGCTGGGGTCGTGCGATCGGTGAAGACGTTGCGTCTGAGATCTCAGCCGGGCTCTCGATGGCAGGCAACTCGATTGCGTGGGGCGTCGCGACTTCCTTGAAGCCGTTCTTGGTCGTGATGAGCGCTTTGGTTGTCGTCGGCGTCTTGAGAATCGTATTTTCCATGGCCTGCGACGCGTACGCTTGACGCTCTTCGCGCAACTGCGGCGGCGCGAGCTCGTCGGCCGACATGGCCAAGAACGACGAGGGCGAGATGTGTCCAGCCATGAGCTGCTGCCGCAGTTGCGTGTTCTTGGGCAGCGCCACCGCCGTCTTGAGCCGGCGCGCGTGTTCGAAAAATAGCTTCTGAACGTTGCCCGGCGGCGCGTCGAGATTGCTCATCCATAGCGACGTGTAGTCGTGCACGAGCTGCTGCGCAATGCGCTGGGATGTGTCGACCGCCGCTGCATGCGCGTGGTCTTGTCCGAGGCCTTCGAGGAACCACGCCAAGAGGACTCGAATGCGGTTTTCGCTGCTCTGAAGCCACTTGAGCTCGACCGGGCCGTACTTGGCGGCCCACGACGTGTCGAGCGCTTCGGCGAGCCGAGCAGATGCGACTTTGTTCATCAACTTGGTCACGATGGGGAGGCTGCGGTGAACGTGGTCGACGTGCACGGCCATCTTGGCGCTGACCCACGTGTCGAGCTCGTGGCGCAGCCGCATCTCTTTGGATGCGAGGATCCCGTCGCGCATCGCATTGGCCTCTCGGACAATGGTGGCCAGTAGGTCGCCCTGGCACGACAGCGTACTCTTCATCAGGCTTGCCTCGTCGTCCGTGCACGCCCGGTACAGCGGCACCGACTTCATCGTGAGCTCCTTGCCTTGAATCTCGAGCGCTTTCGCCTGTGCAAGGATGGCCTGGAGCGTAGACAGCGTTGCGTCTTGGCGCGCGGCCTTGGGCTGACCGAGGCGACTCGCGTGCAGAACTAAAGGGCGCGGCGCGGCCGCCACGATGGCCTTGAAGTCGTTCTGGTCGGCGCCTTCCATGGTCAAGTCGCGGTCATTGACACCCGTAACGTAGTCGCCAATGCGAAGCGCAAGACGCGCGCCAGGATTGATGTTGGTGACGCGAAGGACCGTGGGCGGGCGGCAGGCCACCTCGAGGCCCAGCCGCGGGCTCTCGAAGCACACGGTCACAGGCTCGCCAGCGTGCAGAAGCTCGTGGAGGAGCCATCGGACCTGCTTTCGGTGCACGCGAATGTCGGCCTTGAGCTCGATCTTGGCGAAGCGGGACATGCTGGTCCTCGGTCGCGTCCCTCTGCCCGTCTCCAGCGAAATACTCTCAAAATCGATATTTCGCCGTCCACCAGCGACCAGACCAGTGTACGCTAAGAAAACCTCTTAGTATTTATAATTTGCCTGTCAGATAGCGCCTTGGCACCGTTTGTAGAAGTACACTGCATGCTAAACAACAATATACTGCGATACTATCGGCAACGAGCAATTCGGTAATGACTATGCATACTGCTGTTCAACTTGGGTTCGTGTCTGGTTGTCATGATGGTGTACGACCGCAGCCATGAAAACAGTGGATGAAAACAGCGTTGCATACACTGTTTTGCATGATGGCCAACAGCAGTGCGTGGAACGGCGCCCACGATCCTGAAACAGTGTTTGGTGGACGATTGCAACACCGAAATGTGTCGCTGGGGATTTGCACATTGGACGACAACAGTGTTGCGGCTCTATATTGAGTGAGGTTTAGCCTAAACCCCACCGGCTAAACTAAGGTTAACCCTATTATTAATACACTGTATCAATGTGCATCTCTCTACACAGGCATATTGGTCCGTAGGATAGACCATACTAGTACGCAGTCGAAGCCCTATTCCACCACACACCATATCTTGCACGAGAGTTTTGCCGCCGACTTCGTGTGATTTGCTTGGATCTTCTTTGGAAGAAGACGTGCGCATACACAAATATTGAAACCAACCAATCTCATGCGAAATATATTGGTTACTCAAGTGCGCCTTCCTTCATATCAGCCAACGAACCAATCAGCGCGCGCGATCTTTCGCAGCTGCCACACGACCCAGGACGCGATCGCCGCCAAATGTCCTTGGACATGACCGAGTTCATGACGCAGAAGAACCAGCTTCGTCCTCTTCCTGCAACTGGATGAAGTCGCTTCCGTCGATCGCATGCTCCGTATGCTCACGCAGACGCGCCTATGTGCACCGGGCAGAGGCCCCGCGGATCCGGATAGAGTTGGACGTTGGGCCGACATCCGGATATCGGGTTCGGCAAATATTCCACGTTCCCAGTCCGTTGTTAGACGTCGCTTGAAGCATGAACCCGGACGGTCGGATGCTGGCGAGTCCTGCCATGGGCGCCGACGGTCCGCTGCCGCGGCTCCACCAGCACCATGGCATGCACATGGCGCCCGAGTACCACCGGCCACAGGCGCAGCTAGACCACCGGTCGTCGCCCCACACGAGCCCGTCGCCGAGCGAGCAGCAGCAGGTATACCCGCTCCGGCGCGACGATCACGCCGACGCGTACCATGCCAAGCCCCAGTATGTCGATCCGACCTCGCCGACAGCCGTGTGGCGCGCGAGGAGGCATGAGGAGCTTGCCGCCGGCTATGGCCGGTCACCGGACGAGGCGGCGCGTCCGTACGCACCGGAGCCGCCCACCTTGTATGCACCCCGCCCCGATCCTAGTAGCAGCATGTACTATGCCGACTGGCGCCAAGAGAGCTCCGGCCACGAGCGTGCGTCGAGTCGAAGACGCGTCGAGCACGCGCTGCGGAGCCATGCGCGCAGCTACGACGAGCTCCTCCTCATCATTTCCGCGATCGACGAAGAGCTCCTGCACATGTCCAGCAACTCGAAGATGCAGTACTTTGACAGCGCGATGGATTTCCAAAGAACACTTGAGAGCGGCTGCACGAGCTACCGGCTGTAGCCGCTAAGATCTGGTTCTGCGTCTCATCTTCTTCTTGTCGTCTTGTCGTTCGCTGTCTCGACTACTTGGAGCCGAACTCTTCTTCCCACTTTTGAAAGCGCACAAGCTGGTCTTGGCCCACCGACTTGGAGACGTTCTCGAGCGCCATGAGAATATCATTCTAGCCATCTCATATGGGACCCAATGCAATCGACCGCGACGACCGACCATGGTGACTACGAGCCCGTTCTTCTCCATGGCCTTGATCTCGTCGTCGCCCGCGCCTTCGTTGCGCTTGGCTTGCAGCTAGTACATATGAGCAACACTCGCGCGATGGGAAGATCGCCATGTACTTGGACGAGGTAGTCGGGTGTATACAGGCGCTTGACAGGAAACATCTTTGCTAAAGAATATGCATGTGAGAGGCCGTTCCTCCCCAGTCGAGAGCTGGTACCGGTCTCACAGACGCCGCAGATGTCGTCGCCACTATAACCCTACACGAAAGATCCCTCTAAGACAATATATTGCCATATCTTGCGTCGTACTTCCGTCGTTGTCGCCAGTATTTCATAGTTGACATCATCGGCAACATCAACCTTCTTCAAGTTGAGCTGGAAGAGCGCTTTGCGTCCACTAAGGTCGGGCAGCGGAATGTCTAATCCATGCTCTCGTGGTACAGGGATCGAACCGCGAAGAGCGTACACACGCGCTTGGTGAGGCGGCGGCGCATCGCTTCGTCAATCTGCCACGGCAAGTTGGTCGCTGCGAGGACCATGACGCGGTTGTTCTCAATGTCCGTCTTTTCACCGGACCCGACGCCGTTGATCTGCACCAGGAGCTCCGTCTTGACGCTAATCATGCACCGCATCGACGCCGTAGTCACTGAAGGAAACAGTACCGGCGACTGGACTCGTGCTCTTCGGCGCCGCCGCGCGCACCGGCGATCGCGTCGATTTCGTCCATGAAAATGATGGCCGGCGAGTAATACCGTGCCATCTCAAAGAGGATGCGCACCATCTTTTCCGACTCGCCACGGTATTTGGACGCGAGCGTCGACGCCGAGACGTTGAAGAAGGTGCTGTTGCAGACATTCGCGACCGCCTAGTCCCATCGTTGGTCGAGGACACTGAAGATGTGCGACGAGACCTTGGCCAATAAGGTCTTGCCCGTGCCCGGCGGACCAAACATGAGGACACCGTTGCAGGGCTTGAGGCGGCCATCCTGAGTGCCGTTGAGCAAGGCATTGCAAGCATGGTAGAAGAAGGACCTTGAAGAGGTGGGGTGCGATCTGCGGCAGCATGACGGCCTCTTGGAGAAGCTGCTTGGTGTGCTCGAGGCCCGCAATGTCATCGAACGTGATCTTGGGCCCGTTGTCGACAATATCGCGCTCGATGCCTTCGATGAGCTCGACGTCGACCCAGCCTTGTTCGCGCGCCATCTCCGAGTACTTGGCCTTCTCCCCGGGCTTTCTACATGCGAGGAAGAATGCTTCAAGAAGACGTGTTTGTACTTGGGCGTCGAGCTCGTGGGGGGCTTGGCATCCTTGCTCGCGGGTGGAACGCCTGGCTTTTTGGCGCCCGGAGCGGGTGCGGCACGCGGTTTGGACGCTACGTGCCATGGGATTTAGATTGGGACCCGTATTGCTGTCGGAATGCAAGACCCTTGTCTGGGACGGGCCGATTCGCAAGACGGGCTGGCGGGTTGCCACGGACCACGGGCGCGGCTTGCTGCCCCATCTGCCCGGCGGCAGCATTGAACCGGTTGCTAGGACGTGTCGTCAGACGAGGTGCGTGGAATCTCATGTATCGGACTTGCGCTTGGCGTTGTTGTCAGCCCAGTTGGGAACGCCTGCCGGGGCGCCTCGTCGACGGTCTGGGGAGGGCGGTGCCCATACATCAGGGTCCTAGAGATGTTGGTTCACTAGATGGCTGCATGGTAGCGTACGTCGTTGGACGGCGGCTTGTGGTCGACGACTTGCCAGCGATCGCCCGACGACGGTCGGTCGGGAGGTGTGCTGGCGCGTGGCTTCCGGTTGCGCGCGCCGGGTGCCAGCTTGAGGCCGTGCAGCGCATCGACGTAGTCCAAGACGCCTGCAAGCTCAGCCTCTATCTCGCTCTCGACCTACAAATTGCAATCATACTGCGACGTCGGCAAGCTCGCGTACCTGCAGCCAGTCCTGGCGCTCCTTCATCTGCGAGAGCCGCTTGATCGCGGGCTTGAGCTGGCCGAGGACCCCGCGGTAGAGGCCAATGCCCTTCTCGTAGCTCGAGAGCATGCATTGCTCGCGGGCCGTCGAGAGCTTCTCGCCCATCGCGCGGATCTCATGGGCGTGCAGCATGGTCGCCGATCGAAAATGGATCCAATTCAACAACCGGATGCTATGGTTACTTTCCGGATGCCCGTCGCTGTTTAGTCGATAAAACGACTAAACAACGACCTAGTTGAGCTATTAATATTAATACATGTGGCTGCAGCAGATGAGATTCGAGAAGAATGCCCACCATAGATGACACACAATATATGGCGAAGCGTCAAAAGCCAAACGTGGGTATTATATGGACAATTTCAGGTCGTCGGGTGTGGGCTAGGGCTAAAGTGAAAGCGATAGGTCGTAGTCGTTCACGCGTCGATCTCAATAATGAGCTCAATCTCAACGGGCGCGTTGAGCGGAAGCGCGTTCGTGCCGACCGCCGAGCGGGCGCCAACGTCGTGGTCGCCAAAGATCTTGGCAAACGTATCGGAGCAGCCGTTGATGACCGACGCTTGCTGCGTGAAGCCATCGACGCAGTTGACAAAGCCCATCGTCTTGACGATCCGCTTGACTTTGCCGAGGTCGCCACCGAGCTCCGCCTTGATCGTCGCGAGGAGCGAGAGTGCCACGAGGTGCGCAGCTTCGTACGCAGCTTCGATCGTGACATCCTGACCGACTTTACCGACGAGATGCTCACCGGTTGCGTTCGCTGCGATGTGGCCCGCCGTGAAGATCAGGTTGCCCGAGCGCACCGCGAGCTTGTAGTTGCCTTTGGGTGTGGTCACGCCCGGGAGGACGTACCCGAGTTCGGCAAGACGCGCATCGATCGACGACATGGGCACGTTGGTAAGCAATGTAAAGTGAATTTGAACGAGGGCTTTGGACTCTTTTTCAAATCCTTTTCTCAATGTCAAATCGATTTCAGCGGGAACGTCGAGTCGGACACAACGTGACGGATCGCGCCGCAACGCGACGGTGTACCAAGGGTATATAAGAGATGTATACCCTTGGGTGTACTCAGTATATGGGAGCGGGATCGTCGTGCAGAACAGTACATGCAGTACAGCACCCTCACGAACGACTCGTTGAATGGGTCCAGTAGAAACAAGGCACGGACTTTGCTCAGTGCTTCACCAAGGATGGATTTCTCAGTTTGGCTTGGCTCAGGCCAGTGCATCGACCAAAGGTGACGGTAGTGAAAAATAGTGTGCAGAATGACGTTGTACCGCCGCTGACGCACGGACTGCTGTTCGCAAAGATGGTCCATGTCCCAAGGTCCAGCCGCGGAAGCACGAGTTGCAGCCCACACCAGAACCACAAAATAACCCGCTCCACTACAGTTCTACTGACTGGTACGACGCTCCACC